ATAATTACATAATAATATAAAATTTCAGTATAAAAATAACAATTCATCCATAATAAAAACATTCTTGCATTCATTCATTACAACACATTAGCAAAATTATCTCACTACATAATATTGCATAATACATATATAATGTTTAAATACATAATGTTGTTCACAATTCAAAATAACGTAAATCAAAAACAAAAGTTTCCCTCATGATTCTTCCGTGGGTAACAAAAACAAAAGTTAATTGCAATCCTCACACGCCTGTATTCCACAAAAAGCAAACTGTTACTCGAGAAATATCTGAAAATAAAAAACAAAAATAATTAATGACAATATAATTATGTGTTAATATTTTAATTACAAAAAAACATAAAAAATTAACTACTATATAATTACAAAGATAATCAAGTAAATAATTTTGACTAGACTGAAATCCAGCTCTAACTCCCAAATCGGGAACTCGATTGGAGTTCTGTCTTCTCCTACAAGTCTCTCGTGCCTAGGTGGTCGTGTGTGCCAAGTTTCATGCTAAACCGATGTCGTTTGGAGATTTTGGGGCGTCAATACCTCCAATTCAAATTTCTTAATAAACTACTTTGCCTAGACCGAAATTCGGCTCTAACTCCCAAACCGAGAACCCGATTGGAGTCCCATCTTCTCCCACAAGTCTCTCGTGCCTAGGTGGTCGTGTGTGCCAAGTTTCGTGCTAATCCGACACCGTTTGGAGATTTTGGGGCGTCAACACATCCAATTCAAATTTCTTAATGAACTAGTTTGCCTAGAGTGAAATCCGGCTCTAACTCCCAAATCGAGAACCCGATTGGAGTACCGTCTTCTCCCACAAGTCTCTCGTGCCTAGACGGTCGTGTGTGCCAAGTTTCGTGCTAAACCGATGTCGTTTGGTGATTTTGGGGCCTCAACATCTCAAATTCAAGTTTCTTAAGGAACTAGTTTGCCTAGAGTGATATCCGACTCTAACTCCCAAACCGGAAACCCAATTGGAGTCCCGTCTTCTCCCACAAGTCTCTTGTGCCTAGGCGGTCTTATGTGCCAAGTTTCGTGCTAAACCGACGCCGTTTGGTGATTTTGGGGTGTCAACACCTCAAATTCAAGTTTCTTAAGAAACTAGTTTGCCTAGAGTGAAATCCGGCTCTAACTCCCAAATCGGGAACCCGATTGGAGTCCCATCTTCTCCCGTAAGTCTCTCGTGCTTAGGCGGTCGTGTGTGCCAAGTTTCGTGCTAAACCGATGTCGTTTGGTATTTTGGAGTGTCAACACCTCGAATTCAAGTTTCTTAAGGAACTAGTTTGCCTAGACCAAAATCCGGCTCTAACTCGGGAACCCGATTCGAGCCCCATCTTCTCTCACAAGTCTCTCATGCCTAGGCAGTCGTGTGTGCCAAGTTTCATGTTACTCTGATGCCGTTTGGTGATTTTGGAGCGTTAACATCTCGAATTCTAAATTTCTTAAAAAATTAGTTTGCCTAGAGGAAAATCCGGCCCTAACTCCCAAACCGGGAACCCGATTCGAGTCCTGTCTTCTGCCACAAATCTCTCGTGCCTAGGCGGTCGTGTGTGCCAAGTTTTGTGCTACTTTGACGCCGTTTGACGATTTAGGGGCATTAACACCTCAAATTCTAAATTTTTTAAGAAACTAGTTTGTTTCTTAAGAGTGAAATCCAGCTTTAACTCTCAAACCGAGAACATGATTTGAGTCCTGTCTTCTCCCACAAATCTCTCGTGCCTAGGTGGCAGTGTGTGCCAAGTTTCGTGCTACTCCGACGCCATTTGGTGATTTTGGAGCGCTAACACCTCGAATTCTAAGTTTTTTAAAAAACTAGTTTGTCTAAAATGAAATCTAGCTCTAACTCCCAAACCGAGAACCTCATTTGAGTCCCGTCTTCTTCCACAAGTCTTTCGTGCCTAAGCAGTTGTGTGTGCCAAGTTTCGTGCTACTTCGACGCCGTTTGATGATTTTGGGACATTAACACCTCAAATTCTAAATTTCTTAAGAAATTAGTTTGTTTCTTAAGAGTGAAATCTAGCTCCAATTCCCAAACCAGGAACCCGATTCGAGTCCCGTCTTTTCCCACAAGTCTCTCATGCCTAGGCGGTCGTGTGTGCCAAGTTTCGTGCTACTCCGATGCCGTTTGATGATTTTGGGACATTAACACCTCAAATTCTAAGTTTCTTAAGAAATTAGTTTGTTTCTTAAGAGTGAAATCCGGCTCTAACTCCCAAACCGGGAACCCGATTCGAGTCTCGTCTTCTCCCACAAGTCTCTCATATCTAGGCGGTCATGTATGCCAAGTTTCATGCTAATCCGACGCCATTTGGTGATTTTGGGGCGTCAACACCTCGAATTCTAAATTCTATGATGCCATGAACACACCAAAATGCTTGTATTTTTTAACCACTCAAAATCTCATATTAATAGCTAAGGGAACAATCAAGATTCAACTACCTACTACATTTGCATCCATTAGTAGTTTAGACACTAGATTCAATTAAATTAATATAGTAAACCATCAATATGCATAGAACATAATTTGCTATAAATCACATTAATATCAACAGTAAATGGAAAGCTACAACAAAGCATGCACACATGCAACTCTAGATATAGTAGCAAGCAAATAATAATCATGATCATATTCAGAACCATCTAGATGTGGTAGCAAGCAACTTTGAATCATTTATTTGAAGCATTTGTTCAACATGAAGTTATTCTAGGATATTAAAAAAATAAAACAATGAAAAGAAATAAGAAAAGAAAACACAAAATGCACGAATGCATTTGTAGGAAAACTTGTAGCAGAAAAACCAAGATAACTGAAACTTACTTTTTTTTCCAACAGTGTCTCACCAACTGGCTCTCCAAGCAGCTTCTGCTTTACAGCAATGTGCATCTCATTCTGCAATAATAGCAAAATAACAAAAAATCAATTCACGTAAACATGACTTAAATTTCATACAAAAGTATGTGTTATATATATGATATAACCACATATACAAAGAACAATGTCTTGCAAAAGAACAAATTTTACCTTTATTGTACTTCCATAGAAGTTTTTTTTGAACACATGCTTGTTATGCTGTGAATGACACACTAGGTGGAAAAATAGTGTTGCGATGGGGAATCAGAACAAACACAAAGCCCACAAAGATAATACTTAGTTTGAGCTAAAGCCTATGCCTATGGGTGAAGAATAACAGAAAAATTTCAATTTTAAAGTAGTGAATACAATGAGCCGGATCTCACTAAAACCCCAAAATAACCCTCATATACGAGATTTGAGTAATACCAAACCGGGTCAAAATAGGCCCAATATATGCTCACTACGGGTTTCACGCACAATCCTAATTAAATTCAAAAAAACACCCACAATAGATAGAGATACCCTAACCACAACAATCAGGTGTGATTATTATTGTGAATTATAGAGTTTAGATAAACAAATTTAGAGATCATTGCTTTCCAGCTAACCTTGGTATTCAAATAACACTAACTCAGTAATAAGATATGAAATATAATGATAATGCATAAACTGAATCTAGCCTTGCCTAGATGGTGTTTGTGTGAGTCATAACAATTGCAGCATTAAAACTTAGCACACCATTCCCGTGTTAACATGTAGTGATATTAGCATATTATTTTTTGATGTCATGTGTAACCATTAAGTGCTTATTATAAAGTGTAAGTGTAACTTAATTAAGATTGAGAATCTAAATCCCGTTAAGTTAGAAGGGAATTAGAAAAACAAATGATCTGACGTGTCAATGCATAAGGAGGACTTGTTAAGACCATATTAAATTTAGATAGTTTGTAAGCGAAATGTTTTACTAGATTTAGAATCTCTAGCTTAAAATATGTTTCTTTAAAGAGTTTGTCAAGAAACTATTTTCTTCTCAAATTATTGTATTATATTAAGTGGGTGGTGTAAACTTCAAACAAATACTTGTCTATCATGTATTTGCAATGCACTCAAGTTCTCTCTCTCTCTCTCACACACATACACACATGTTTACGCATATAGGATGCATTAAGTGCAGTTACAGAAGGGGAGTGTTTTGTGCCACGTTCACATAAACACAGAGAAACTATAATAATATATATGATCAACGAGAACAAGAACCATTTGATAGCTAATATGGATCGGGATTAATCTCTGCAATGGTCTTGTTGTGTTATAGTTCAATAGCCTTTGTTCAAAATTAAAGCAAAATTATGCCATTTTAGTGTGTCATTTAAATGCCATTTTATTCAAGTTTTAACTCAAGCCGTTAAATTATATATTTTGTTCGATGTATCTTATTGCGATAAAAAATACAATAATGTTATTGCAGGAAAATCATGATAGAGAAAATGAACTTCTAATTATTGAAGAGTGTTTGAATATTGTAAACTTTAAAATGCTATTGCTAACTTACTATGTTATGATTAGTACAAACTACGTGGTGTCACTGCTGAAAATTGGACTTTTAATGACGTTTAAAAAACGCCGCTAATTCATTTTGTGACGTTTAATACCAAACGTCCAAGATGCAGCCGTCGCTGTAATTTTATGACGTTTTAAAAACGTCATGATATCAGTATAGGCGACGTTTTTAGAAACGCCACAAAATGTCCCTCCCAAACTGTACCATGACGTCACTATGATTTTAGCGATGTTTTCAAAAAGCCGTCATAGCTTTGGAGTTTAGGTGGCATTTAAAAACGCCTTAAAATCCTCTTTTTTTTATAAAAAAAAAAAAAAGGGGGCTAATGTTGTGTGATTGAACTAAAAAAATTACTTGTGATAAAACTGAATAGCCCTAATATGAAATAAAAACTCTCATTCAAACAATAAATGCAGCATTAATTCACTTTCCCATTCAATTTAATATCCAATCACTATTACCCACAAAATAATATATCCAAAAATTAAATTCACAATTCTCAACCAAAAAATCAAATGGTTCATAAGCATAACCTTAAATAGCCTTTCTTGTTGAGAGGCAAAAGAGCCTTGGTTAATTTCCAATTACATTTTCATATGCATCCTCAATTTTCTGGATAACATCCTGCCATCCCAAAGTGTTGTAATTGTACTCATGACAGTAAGACATACAAATAGAATGCTATGCTCCTTTCATAAACCACACATCATACAGATTCCTGAATCTGTCCATGTATGAACCCAGATAATGAAAAGAAAGACTTAACAGACAAAGCAGATAAAGTCAAATTTTGATTCAACCAGGATAGTGTAGAAGACGAAGAAATGGCATTGGTGGATTGAAAGCCCCATCTTTCTCGAAGAAGTCTTCATCCAAGTTTAAAGCGAGAGCAATTAAAGAGATCAACTTTTTTCCAGCAGTCCTGTGGCAGCAAAAATCAACACCAGCCAAAAGTCACACAGCCTTGTTCTTATCAACTAGACCAACACACCATCCATCCAGTAAGGCAATCAACCAAAAATTACAACTTGTGTTACAAAAGCTTTTGTAAGATAATTTGCTCACAACTCAGAAGCAATAGTAGCATAAAAATGTAACTCAGAAGCACAGATGGCAGCTGCAAACACACAAAACATTTAAGCATGTGGACTATGGTAATTTACACACCCCCAGCAAATAAGACATAGGTGGACCTAACCTAATACTTAATTTAGCTTTAAATATTTGGAAATACCAGCAAATCTGTTCTATACACACCCCCAGCAAATCTGTTCCATACATACCCTGAACCAACAGCAAAGCAAGCAACACAAGATCAGAACAGCCAACAAAACAGCCAGCATATCAGTTCCTGATGCATTACTCAACCAGCACAAGATCAGAACAAGCAGCAAAGAGTTAAAGCAGAGCAAGACCAGCACAGATCAGCAATATCGGCTATAACAGCAATATGAAGATTCAATAATAACTCTATATTGTGAAAGAAGTAAACTCAAACTCAAATACAAAAGATACATTTCAAATCACCACAATTATATGGCAGCTTCTATTTACACAATAAAAATGTCTCCTTACTACCTTAATTTGTTTTTTTATTTATTACAGTTTTATCTTTACATGAAATTACATTAAAATCCTCGAACCCTAAAATGTTGAAAGGTGAAAGTTTTTGCAGCTCAAACTTAGAGCAGATTCCCATCTTAAAAAAAAAAAAAAAAAAAACAATAAAAGGCAACATGTGGAGAATAAATTAAATGCTGTGTGGTGACACAGTTTTTGCAGCTCAAACTTAAAGCAGATTCCCATCTTCGGGAAAAAAAAAACAGAGGCAGTTGCCAACAAAATGTGCATATTTGTGTCTATGTGAGGGAGAGAGAGCTCTTGCAATAGAACAGCAACCAGAAAGTGGCCCTTGCAATAGAACTCTTCTAATTTAGAACTACATTCAAGTTGGGATGAAAAAAAAACAGAGAAAAAAAACAGCCAAAAACTTGGACCATAAAATGTAATTATTACAGTATACTTGATATAACTGAAGTGATTCAACCAACTAAAATGTAATTATTATAGTATACTTGGAAAAATGATGCAAATAAATGGTTTCATCCAACTAAAGTGATTCAACCACAACAACCCATCATTATTTAATGTAGAGTGTCTACTACAAATAAATAGCCATGAGTCACTCCTATAAATTGGTATTGGACTCCAAATAAACAAAAAGTCAATATGCTCGCTCATACATGAATTTATGCCATATTTAAAAGCTTAATATATAAAACTATGTAGCTGATTTGGCTTATTCACTAATTTCCAACACCAAATCACATCATGTCTTAATAGAATTAGAAAAGTGAGAAATTAAAAACTAGTAATGTTAGTACTTTTACCTTGTTAGTTCTTTTTCTTCTTCTCTTTCTTTGAAAGGTGAACCTACATTTAATAGGAATAAGTATTTTAATCAATAAGATATTGTATTGTCAAAAAAGCTTTGAATAAATGATTGCTCACATCTTGGGATGAAAATGCATGAGATTGTTGTTGATGTAACATTGACCGAACAGTGGGAAGACTACTAAGTGAATCAACAACCTATCATTCAATAAGAGGTTTAAGTTGTATAGTAGCTCTGCGCAACTTAAAGTAATAACTAATAAAAATAATGAAAATACCTGCTGCTGCCTATGTAATGGGTTCACAAAAAGCATGAGGATTTGTAAGTTATTTCAACTAGAGAGTGAATAAGAAAAAGACAGGAGATACCACCGATAGTAATGATGTATTATACTCAACACTACCTGCATACACAGATCTCAATTCACAACAAATGAAGCAAAATGGCAAAGCATCCATGCTCGAAACAACTGAACAAAGGTTTTCCCTGTACAAGACTGAACAAAGAATACAGTATCAATGATAAACTTCAGCAAAAACAACCACCACAGCCATGGATGAGAGGACAATAATCAAGATAACTAGTTAGTTGTGCAAGTTCATCAAAGTTACGGACAAGAACATGCAACAAAAATTTCTTAAATACTAGATGTCGTTAAATGTGTACAGAATTTGAACCACCATAGAAGGTATTTGGCTATCCATCATTCAGCATTATAAATATATAAGATGAATGCATACCATTATCGGTTAAATAACTATAACAAATACCTGAGGGTGAGGCACAATGAAGGCATACCTATTATTGTTGACATAAGATGATACCCTGTTGCCTTCAGTGCGACTGAAAAATATTATCATTGCGGTTGTTCAATATGATTGTATGAATACTCTTCTACTGCTGTATATATACATTTGATGTGAAGTATTCAACATTGTTCCTGTTTAAAGACTTTAATTGCTTATATTCACCTAGTTCACACGAATGATGTTCCTTTTATCATTCCAGAATTCCTCTTTAGTCCTTGATGCTGTTAAAGCATTTTCATTTTTCTGGAAAAGGACAGCGTCTAGTGAAAAAGAGTTTTTGAGATCGAGAGTCATTAATGTCAAGTACTATAAGAACAACTCTTATTCGGGAAGGGCTTATACCAGCTTGAAAGCCTTACTTGAAGAGAAATACCTCTTTAGTAATGAGAATCAGTAAATATATTAATTTGTAAGCTTGGCAGCATTCTATCATTCATTATTCATAATCTTTTTATCTATTACTCATTGGAACAATTGACTTCCATATTTATTTGTATGTAGACAGTAAGTTCTGTTTACAGTCGCATCTTTCACTCTTATTTCCTGCTTAAAGCCCCTAATCTTGTAACTGGAATAAGTACAAAAGATTCACAAACTTAACTCCTAAAAATCAGCTAGAGCCATTAAACCTTGCAACCCTAACAACAATGCCATTAAGAAAATTATAATATGTGCATACATCAGAATTGGGACCAAAAACCAGATCAGCATAGGAAAAAAACATGCTAATATTGTTGATGCTAATTTAGGGTTTAAAACAGGGTAATAAAAAAACAAAGAGTGAAAAATAAAGAACACTGGTTGAAAAATCAGTTCTGGTGATCTGGGGAAAAATAAATGAGATGTGTAAAACACTGATTGATCAATCCAAACTGATCAATAAAAAACAGAGATTAAAATTCTTCAAAACATTGACTGAAAACCTTAGGAGAAGAATCGACGGGAAGGAAGAACTTGAGAGAGAGAGAGAGAGCTTGAGATTTTCTGAAGCGATGGTGCTCACCTTAGTAGATGATGGTGCTCACTCTCCTCGCCGGACGAATCTGAGGTTGAATCACCGAGCTTTGAAATCGAGACAGAACTTCGAAATCGCCGAATGAATCTGAGATTGAATCACGGAGCTGAAGAAGGTTGAACTTCGAAATCACCTTCAATCAATCAACAGATCTTCAATCAATCTGATCTAAGAATGATAAAGTAGGAGAGAGAGAGAGAGAGCTTGAGATTTTCTGAAGCGATGGTGCTCACCTTAGTAGATGATGGTGCTCACTCTCCTCGCCGGACGAATCTGAGGTTGAATCACCGAGCTTTGAAATCGAGACAGAACTTCGAAATCGCTGAATGAATCTGAGATTGAATCACGGAGCTGAAGAAGGTTGAACTTCGAAATCACCTTCAATCGATCAACAGATCTTCAATCAATCTGATCTAAGAATGATAAAGTAGATAAACCCTAGCATACCTGAATCGAATGATTCCATCAGTAAGTATTATCTTCAATTGAACTTGAATGTGAGAAGATAGAGATGAGACTGATCAACACTTACCATGAAAAAAGACCTGTGAACTCGAACAAGAACTTGAGAAGGCACATCATGATAAATCGATGATCTATGAATACTTGAATCGAATAAACGAAGGGGTGAATCGAATACTTGAAGAGAAGGGTTGCAGATTAATCGATTAATAAATGAAGGGGTTTGAATCAAGAGAAACGAAAGGGGGTGAAGCAAGAGAGAGTGAATTCCAGGGTATAGTGAGAGCGAGAGAGAGAGAGCATAGGCTATTTAAGGCCTAGTAAGGCCTAGTTTGGGAAGACTAAATAAGTGCACTTTTTGACTTTTTATGAAATATGGGTTGGGTTTGAAGTGATGTGTTAGAGAGGTGATGTGACTTAAATAAGATGATGTGACTTAAATAGGATAGTGACTTTTTGACTTTTTGTCTTTTTTTCAATCATGCCAAACTTGGCCTAAGTTTACATTAAAAAAAAAGAAAAAAGAGAAAAACATTTGAAGGCATTTTCGGAAGTTAAAACGGTGTCGTATTGGTCAATAAGAATGCAACGTTTAAGAAAACGCCGTAAAATATTAGAAACAAAGGCGTTTTTTTAAACGCCGTTAAATCTTACTTTTCTTGTAGTGTGTACAGTTGTATCTAAGGAGGGCTACCTAACAGTGTTGGTATATTGTAGTTTTTTTTTTTACTACAATTTGTAGTTTTCTTATATATTATTATCACTATCAGGTGCGACCCATTTGTACCACAACAAAATAATTAAATAAATACTATATGCAAAACAAATTAAAATTCTATAAGGAAGACTTTGTTAAGTTGAGATAGAGGACAGATGGGCAAAATGGGTGGTTGAGAGATCTTCTCGCTCTAAAATTTATATCTCCCGATTATCAATATATTTTCAATTGATTGATAAAGTAAAAATCTCAAGATACAATTGTGATTAAAAGTATATTGGAACAAATAAGCATATATTTGTTTGAGGATGGAATATAATGACTTGTTTGGATGAGTCATGGTTTGTGCAAGTATTGATTCACACTAAAATCAATGACAAAATGGTGTATTTCTCAAGACTAATGTGGATAATTTTTATATTTTGGAAGAAAGCTATGTTACACATGGTCAATTGTCCATTTTAAGAGAAGAGTAGCACCATCACCAACACATGCGTAGAGGTCAAAGCCAATTTGCTTGTGTACTACTTATGATTTAAACTTTGGTAAAAAAAAACCTACCGATACACTTGTGAGTGTGAGGTCAACTTAGTCACAAGTCCAACTCCATAACTTTGACAATAATAACTTTCTTTGTTCACTACTTGGCATATGTGTTTTGTATATTAACTTCACAAGAAAGCAAAATAATAGAACTCCTCCCAAGGTTAGTTTGAAAAATCAGATTAGCTTCTATTTAGACTCATGTGATGTTTAGAAAGCAAATAAAAAAGTTATTTTTTAACTGAACAAGTCAAAATATTAGAAAGAGAAGTTGTCTAAAAGTCAAAAAAAAAGAGCCTAAAATTTTCAATTCAAATTCTATAAGAGAAGTTTTATAGCTGCTGTTGAACTTACAACTTCACTCACAAAATTGACTGAATTTTGAATCAAATTGGAGAGAAGCCATATCTTTAAAAATAACATTTTTAAAAAATCAACCATCAACTCATTTTAACCCAATATTTTACCCCTAATGAGCCAAATCTATCATTTTACTCTTATCATCCCAAAAGTCATCAAATAATCCAATATGTTAACATAAGGTACAAAAATTGCTCGCGTGAATCAGATAAGCAACAGTCCAACACTAGAATACACTTGAATGCATAAATTGCTCAAAATTTCAATCAACTTACCGATTCCTCATGCGAAGCGCGGCATATTAGGAAAAAAAATAATTTAATTTTTATTATAAATGAATATTTAAATAATAGAAATATTTTTTTTTTAACAGAAGTTGCTGTTGTCAAATAAATTTATTTTTTGTTAAAACAAATTTTTTTTATAGTTAATGATTTTTTTTTATTTTCTTTTAGTTATTAAGGTTGAGAATTTATTTGTTTTATTCTTATTTTAATGAATAAAAAATTGTTGTTATTATTTTTTATTTGGTAGAAGTAGGAATAATATTTTAATGAAAATTTTTTTTCCATGAAAATAAAGTTATTTTTTTATGATCAATGAAAAATATTTTTTTGCGACTTTTTTTTTTTATTACTAAAAATCAAGAGATAGAGAGAAAGAAAGACAGACAGACAGACAGACAAAAAAAGAGAGAGAAGCAAGAGATGACCGAGAGATAAACAAAAAGAGAGAGAGAGAGAGAGAGAGAGAGAAGAAAGTTGAGTAAGAGAGATTAAGAGAAGAGAGATGAGCGAGAGACAAAGAGAGAAAGAGAGAGACACAGACAGACAGACAAAGAAGAGTGATGAGTGAGAGAGAGAGAGAAAGAGATAGAGAGTGAGAGACAGAAAAAGAGACAGAGAGAGAAAGATAGAGAGAAGAGAGATGAGCGAGAAAGACATAGAGAGAAGAGAGATAAACGAGAGAGACAGAAAAAGAGATAGAGAGAAGAGAGATGAACGAGAGAGACAGAGAGAGATAAGAGAGATAGAAAAAGATAGAGAGAAGAGAGATGAACGAAAGAGATAGAAAGAGAAAAGAGATGAGAGAAAAGATAAATGAGTGAGAGACACAGAGAGAGACAGATAAACAGACATATAGAGAGAGAAGAGTGATGAGTGAGAGAAAGAAGATAGAGGAAGATAAAAAAATAGGTGAAAATATATAGACAAAGAGAGAGAGAGAGAGAGAGAGAGAGAAAGAGCGAAAAGAGATAAATGAGAGAGAGACAGAGAGAGATAAGCGAGAAAGATAAAGAAAAGAGAGACAGGGAGAGAAGAGAGATGGGCGAGAGACACAGAGAGAGAGACAAACAGACAGACAGACAGAGAAGAGTGATGAGTGAGAGAGAGAAAAAGAAAGAGAAGAGAGACAGAGACACAGAGAGAAAGAGAGAGACAGACAGACAGAGAAGAGTGATGAGTGAGAGAGAGAAAGAGACACATAGAGAAAGAGAGAGACATACAGACAGAGAAGAGTGATGAATGAGAGAGAGAAAGAGAAGAGAGACAAAGACAGAGAAAGATGAAAAAATAGGTAAAAAGAGAAATGTTCAAAAGAGTAAGACAACGTCATTTTTTTTTTGTGACAGAAAAATACTGTTGTATTTATTTAAACCATTTTGTGACTATATATGAAGCCGTCTCAAAGCCACAATATATATATATATATATATATTACTTCTTTTTTTTTGGCAACGATACCTATTACAGTTGCAAAATACTCTTTTTTTTTTTTACTACAATTGGTACTGTCGCAAAAACTCTATTTTTTTACGACAGCAATCTCTACCGTCGCAAATACTCTATTTTTTTTGCGACAGCAATTTCTGCCGTCGCAAATACTCTCCTTTTTCGCGACAGCATTTTATGCCATCGCAAATACTCTATTTTTTGCGACGGCAAGTTGTGCCGTCTCAAAAAGTCATATTTTTTGCGACGGCAAGTTGTGCTATCTCAAAAAGTCACATTTTTTGCAACGGCTAGTTGTGCCATCGCAAAAAGTCATTTTTTACGACGGCAAATGTGTCGTCGCAAAAAGTTCCGTCTCTTAAGCCCTCTTTTCTTGTAGTGACTTCTCCCTAATTCACAACCCCACTTCTTTGAACGAAACCTGCATTGTGTCATGGGAATTAATTTTAAATATATATTATATCCAACTTTTTTACATTTTTTTACGAAAACCCTCTTTCAATGTTTCCATATGAGGTACTTTTCTTCCTACTAAATGAAAGCAATGTCACAATGTCAAAGTGTAGCGGTTGTGTTTGTGTCCAACAAGTATGGTGGACACTCACCTTGTCGACCACGATTATCACCTTGTTACCAAATGACCAGCCAAACGACCAACAAAAAAGTATAATACATAACTGGATTGAAATAGTGTCGAAGAGGAGACGGATCCAAAAGTTCACTAGTGCATTCCTTCTACTAATGTCTAGTTTCTAGCAACTATTACGTCATCAACTACCCTAAAAGTTTTAAGAGATAGAAAATAAATTTAACAATACATGTTAAGAAAAATGTTTGAGACCCTCTTTGGGAATGACCCTCACACCCCCAAAGTGATCCTAACCCTCCATGTATGTGTGGGGCCCACTCATGTATGTGTGAAATTTATATCTTGAGTGATTCAGATTTGTAGGGGTCTTGTAGGGTTGGGGGTCTCAATCATTACTCATATGTTAAATTAATTTCCTCTTCCTTCTACTAATGTTTAGTTTCTAGCAAGTGTTACATCATCAATTATCCTAAAAATTTAAAATTGTGTTTGGTTGGGAGATTTAGAAAGGGATTGAAAAAGAAAAAGGGAAAAGGTAGGTGAAACATATATCTACATTTCACCTTATTTCACATACATTTTCACTTTTCATTTCTAAATCTCTCTCCAAAGTCTCCAACCAAACACAACCTAAACGAATAGAAAATAAGTTTAACAATGTATGTTAAATTAATATTTGGGCAAACTTCACTTTACCCCCTTATAGTTCAGGCATGTAGTTTGTAAACTGAAGTGCATAGTTAGACCGGTTAACGATTTAATA